CCCTTCTTTGGGTTGGTCTGGGTAAAGGCGCTTCAGAAAGTTTGTGGGAAAATGGAATTCGAAGATACTTGAGTTTTTCCAGAAACTGTCTGAAACCCCTCGTATTTACATTCCAAGTTGCAAAACCAGTTGCCTGGTAATGTGTCAAATCACAGCCCCACCCAGCCACGTCTTACAGTCTGCTAACCTAAAGCCACAAACCCTCCAGGACCCGTGGGCTCAGAGCCTGGGGGAGGAGTCCACCAGCCCTAGAAAGGGTAAGAGCAGAATCCGGAGTCAGCTAAGCTGGGGGGACATCGTGTAGCCCAGGCCACTACACGGAACTGTCCCCTGCACAGGGCAGATGACGGGGAGCGTGCTCCTGCTCTTTCCCAGGTTTGCAGACACCAGCCCACCATGACAAGTGGACTGAGATGCAGCTTTGGGGTCGCTGTGTGCTGACCCCAGGTCAGGACACTGAGTTCAGCAAATCCCAGCCTCCAGAGAGCAATGGGCTCTCGGATGACTGTGGGTGACGGCAGACTCTGTTTCCAGCTGACAGGGATGCACTGCGGGCTTCACTCACCCACCTCCCAGGTGGCAGCTGTTAAAATGTGCCCTAAGCTGGGCATCCCCATGGGTCCTTGTCCCACCTTAGTACCCCCCAGAACCTGCTCCTCCGCTGAGCGTCCCACAGCCCTAGTCCTGCCTCTCTGGTGCCCCTCAGCCAGCAGGGCCCAGCGTGTTGGGCATGGCCCAAGCACAGCCACACAGGCTCAAATCCAGAAGCCCTGTCCAGGCCTCTCGGGGTTCTGCTGGTACAGGTCAGGGCTGCTCTGAAGGCCTGTCCATGCCCCTACTTTATCTGGGTGCCCCTGTCCCCAGAGAACCTCCCTGCTCTTACCCTGGCCTGACAGCGCTCCTGCATTGCCATGTGGGGGTACAGGTGCTGCTCCCCCAGCAGAGGGGACAATACGTGCACCCCAAAGTCACCCTCTGCCCCTCCATCCCCACATGGCACCAGCGCAGCCTAAACAGAAAATGTTTCCCACCACACCGACGGTTTTAACTGAAAAAAAAAGCCCATCTCCAAAAATATTCTCAGAAATATAAAAGTAGCCTTCAAAAGAACCCCCCAAACCCCAGAGAAGCGCTGGCTGGACTGGACTGTAATTACCACCCTGCATTGGTGTGGGAAAATTCCTCTGTGCCTTGCCTTTAAAAATAACTCGGCCACCGCCCCTTCAGACCGAGGGTGCTGAACCTGCCCCTCCTTTGTCTCTGCTTTCCATAGAGACACAGAAGGCAGACGTGGACTTCTCCCAAGCTTCCACCCTGAGCACCCAGCTCAGACGAGCTTGTCATTCAGGAGGCCTGTGCTTTCAGAAGGCCGGCTTCTCCCAGTGCTTACACCCAAGGTAGGGTGGGAGTCCACAGCTGGGAAACACATGACACAGGGACCTTCCAGAACTCTCTCTTGTGAGCACCTCAAGCCTGGAGGGTGTCCTATGAAGAAGAGTGACTCCAGAAAGCACAGCTGCACCTCATCTGTTCCAGGGGAGGGGTCCCTGGCTGGAACTGCTGTGCAAAGCCCCCTGTCCACTTTCTTCAGCCGGGACCAAACACGACATGCTCAGCTGCTAACTGAAAGGTTGGAACATCAGTCTACCCAGAGGTACCTTGGAAGAAAGGCCTGGTGATCTCCTTCTAAAAGACCCTGTGGAAAAAGCACCATTCAGCTCCAGGGCCACCGTGAGTCACAATCAACCCGATGGCTGCTGTGTCCCGATGGGCACTCACCCTACCCACTGGCACCTCTGGACTTCACCTGGGACTTCCACGGTCTAGCACCTGTGTGCTGACCAGCACTGCTCCCACACCCCAGTGTCCTGTGAAGGCTGACGGACTGTCAGACCATCTGGGTGGTCACCTGGTCTTTAAGGTGTACCCAGTACTGTCTGTGATTGACAGCTCACATGCTGCAGATTCAGAAGGAACTAAATGTATGTGTGTACACACACAGAAACATGCACATACACACATAGCAGATTCAGAGGGAACTAAACGTATGTGTGTACACACACAGAAACATGCACATACACACACAGCAGATTCAGAGGGAACTAAACGTATGTGTGTACACACACAGAAACATGCACATACACACACAGCAGATTCAGAGGGAACTACACACACATGTGTACACACACAGACACATATGCATACACATACACTGCGGATACAGAAGGAACTAAACACATGTGTGTGCACACGCAGAAACACACACACATACATACTGCAGGTTCAGAGGGAACTAAACTTACATGTGTGCACACA